CCCCCCCCGATGAGTAGGAATAGTCGATATCACACGCCAAAGATGAGAAAATTCGACTTCTAGTTTTCTTCCGACTCTTAAAAACATTAAGCCCGTTAACATAAAACAACTTACTCCGTTTCCATTAGAATAAGAACAGTTGTTTGGACACTGCTTGAAGCCGGCAGTGAACGTTTCAATACTTGTACACTTCCGGTTTACACAAAGCTGGAAAAAGGAAGAACAAAAATCGTCATTCTAAAAATCTTTTTCAAATAATAATTGGAAACTATTTATTTTAAACCAAGTCAAGTCAAGCTACCTTATTATCTCCACACTTTGTTCCGTCCACAGTTTGCCCTGGATCAGGAACATCTAAACCAAGGCTCACAGAAGTGCTTCTAAAACCAAACGTACAGGAAAAACTTGAGCACTTCAGTAGTTTTATTTAAAAGCAGACCAAATCACGGATACTAAAGGGTTGTTTCTGGTGTGTATTGCCGTTCGCACTACGCCACTAGAATCCTCCTGCACGCGCAAAAGAACATTTACCTAATACGACCTTTCTCCTATTTCGCAAACATTTTTATGTTCAGCGTTTCCCTCCCCCACCCCTGCTGTCAACTGAGAGGGAGCTACTCGTGGTTAAGTGGGTTGCTACAGGGCCAGTAATGGTTAAAAAACTCTTGGGAGTCCTTTTGAGTGGTCGACACTTCGTTCGCCTGATCAACCAAAACCCATGCGCGTTTGCTTAAACGTTCTTCCAACCATCAAATTTCTAAACTCGTTTAGTTCAAAGTCATGAAAATAACTCTTGACTATTTACAACAATAATGCGCTTTTATAGAGCGGAAAACAGTTCGATACTTACTTGCATACCGTTGAACCATTGGTATGTATGTAAATACCTCGATGTCTTCCAATAACAGGAAATTTAACCCCGTCAAGGTTGGTACAATGAAGCATGCCACACAACTTGTCCCTATAAGGGTAACAACAATTACCGGTCAAAACTCGTTGCTACCCAAGCTGGCGAACCACCTTTAGGCCAGTCACGAAATCGTGGAAACTGGATCTCATGACCGTCCAGAAGAAGGTTTGTGAAGGGGAAAGATTTCAAATATTTACTTATAGACTGTAAGTAGCTTAAGTAACGTGGAAATTTCCTGTGATCAAATGACCTAAGCTTAAGTGAGCATAAGTGAGGGGAAAGCAGCATGTCTGAGGTATAAAGTATGTGAGTCGTTTTTGGGAAAAACACACTGGCAGCTCGGTATGCTTACGGGTCAATTCTGAATTGACGCTCATGTTAATTTTAGCACAAACAGCCATTATATAAGCTGTGCGGACCTACAATTCTAAACACTTACTCTGAAGCGCACTTCAGATACGCGTTATCACCAAACTGGCCACAGTTTCCTCGATAATCTCCCTTCTCGTTCCAGGTATAACAACCGTCTGGACCCGTCAGTGCATCTGAAGGACGACAAAGTCATTAGCTCAGAGCCACATGAAGCCGAAGGCATCTGTTTACAGGAGATGTCTTGCCATGATGAACAAGTCTTTCACGTCTTGTGGAGTCGGTCAGAAAAATATACTCAGTCTCCTCCCTGTTTATTACTAGTGATGCCTAGGTAGTGATGCCTACTGGTGCCTACTGGTGCCTACTGGTGCAGTCATTTCTTCGGTAAGTTGTAAGTAACTGTTTTTCCACGTCACTATGATTATGTTGAATTAATTACGTTAGATTTTCACACTTAGTTGTTTGATGTCGCTTTAAGCTGCTTTTCGCTAAAGAATTATAAATTAAACAAACTTAAGGTAGCTAGGGAAAAATTGATTAATGTTCATTTTTCCCATAGTTACAGAAATGCTCGTTGCGTAAGTTTCTATTTTCTGCAAGCAGTTGAAGAAGTTACCGAAAGTTAACTGAAAAGTAGAATAGACTAACGTGACAGCTAGGTTCTGAGCTGCAAATATTTCAGTGAACGGCAAATAAAACAAAGCAAAGTTGTAACACTGCACAGTCTTAATACAACTGTATATAGCTTAACTCATACCTGGTCCCCACAGATCTTGACACTGGACGTCGTGTAAAGGGCATTCGCTCTTGTAGCAGTATCCCTTGAAAAGAACAACACATAAAACAATGAAAAAAGCAGTATGGAGAGGAGAGCTTGGAGATATCGTTTTAAAAATTAACCCATTTCCATAGGATGGTAAGACGGCGCACTTCTTACCTTATTGTCAGCACAAGGCATACCATCAACAACGTACTTGTTACTCGGACACTGAAATAAAAATTTCGTTGTTTAAAGTTCCTTCAGCTAAGAACGCTTTGCAATTAAGTAGACGCCGTTTAGTCCTTAAATATTAACATAAAAATTATCTTTACTGACCATCACCTGCCATATAAAATAAGTTGTGAGAATTTGCATACATACCGTGGCAATATCCGTTAATAATCGTTTCAATTCTCTAATCTGTAAGCTTGACATAAATTGATGTAACATAGTGGACACACCACGAAACGATGACTTGTGGGGATTACAAGGACAGACAAAAAAAGCCAACTGGGAACCTGACAGTGGGTTAGAAGATATCATCTTATTCTAAAGGTGACTATTCTTCTACTTACCAATTCCGATTTTCCAGTACAAAATTCTGGTAAATCGCATTCAGTAATTTTATCCCGACAAAGTGAGCCTTCAGACTTGAGCTGCAAAAAAGCAAAAGCAATGAGATTTAGTTACACAAAGTCAAAAAATACAAACAAGGTGTGAAAACTGTTCTCTGATAAGCCTAGCACAGTAAACCATGTTCACATTTGTGGAATCAAAGGCCTAAGAAATCGTCTTCTCAAACTCATTAATAATTCATCAAGTTTAAACAAAGGAAATCATGACCGTGACGGTGTTCGGATATCTGATCTTAATTAGCATAGATTTTTACGATTTTATTTCTCCGTTTTCTCCTTAGTTTTAGTTTTGATTGAGAATATATATCAAACACTTAAAACAGTGTTTGACCACATTTCCAAACACCTCGAAGATCGTCAAAAATACTCCGCTGCGCGTCGTATTTTCAACTCTCTTCTCGGTGTTTAGGAATGTGGTCAAACACGGTCTTTCGTGTTTGAAATGTTACGTCAAAGCACTTGCAAATTCTCGATTCACAATCAAGCACACAAGAGCTGACCGAAAGCTGATGTAAAATGATACTGACATGATGTTAACTGATTGACTTCAAATGACACTGAAGGAGCTGAAACATTTGAAGAATAATAATTTTTCTTCAAATGTTTCAGTTCCTTCAGTGTTATTGTTGATCAGTTTCAGCCCCACTTTTTGCTATTCACAATTATGCCTGGTAACAACCATAGCATATTTTGACCCTTCAGGTTGTCGAGCAACATGAGTGACAAAAACTGCGGGCTCAGATCGTGGTAATCTGACCCGTAAAGCCTAGAACTAGACGTACGTTTCCCAGATTTGAGAGAAACCTACCTTACAATTCAAGCAACATGGTCCAGTGTCGCATTCAGAACTGGGATGAAGCTTGCAGGTCGTGGCATTACAACAGTTGTCACTATACTTCTCACACTCCTGACAAACACAAGCACCAAACGAGTTGAAACATTGTTGTCTTGTGTTATGTGAAACTACATGTGGCACGGGTGTCTAATAATCCAAGGTGGAGCATCTCGCCCTGACTGGGATCACCATAACTCTTTCCACCACTCAGGTGTATTAATGATTACCAGCAAGTTGTTAATTAAAAGGCTAAACAATAAAGTACTGCTGCAGTAGTCTAAGCCAGGTAGCACCTTATCAAGGATGAGTCATAGCACTTCTTTTAAACATTTGCTACAGAAACTAGAGTATACTGCTATATCATCTAAGAAAGCTAAACAGCCAGGAGTCCATCGTGGCAGGGGTTGCTTTCAGAGGGTGGTCTGTATCTTTTGTAGGCTTTCAGAAATATAGAAAACTAAAAATATAGAAATTATATAGAAAACTAAAAAAAAACTAAAAAAACTAAAAACGCTGCAAAAAGTTATGCGTACCCTTACCATATTTGCAGGGCGTGGTATAATTGCTCATATACCATGATGGCTACACCAATGAAAACTCTTAAATTGCATTATCCAATGATCCATGTTTTTACTCAATATTATCATACCTCAATGGTGCCGCAGTCACACTCTTCACCTTCTTCTTTGAATCCATTACCACACAAAGCATCTCCAAACAACTAAGAAAATTACCAGCTACATCATTAAAAATGTCTTCAATCATCATAGTGACACTATACAGTCAACCACAAGGATTGCAAACAGCAGGTCTTAAATTAATCCAGTTTAAGTCATCACCCTAGCAACATCAAAAACACTTTTTTCTCTCCGAAATGTAATGAATTGCTTAAATGTTAAATGCTTACATAACCTCATCTAAAAATGTGGGGCGTTGGGAGAATTCTGAAAAGTTATACAAACTATTGACTGCATCATGGGTTTGCATAAATGTCTTGAATTCTCCCAACCCTCCTCATGTTTAGACTAGGCTATATAAATTTATGAGAACTTACAGTTGAAGGTTTGTCAAATAAGCAGGCGTCCAAGCCTCTCTTCAGAAACTTGTCAAATGATTCAAAACTACAGGAAGACCATTCTGTTGATGGTTTACTCCTAATATTGAAAAGAAGAATGTTAAATTCTTTTTGTTTGGAGACAATGTAACTAGGTATGACTTTGGCCCTGTACGGTAAAGAATTTCCGATATAAGGCCTGCCAGCTCAGGCATTTGACTGTTGACAAAATGTTGGTTAGTGGTCAGAAGCTAAAAGAATTTTGTAATCAATGGATCTTCAAGGGCCTTTGTTCACATCACTCTGCTATTCCACCTCTG